AGGCCCACGGAACCTTCAAGATTTGAAGACTGTGTGGAAGAATGGGCCAAAAGCACACCTGAGCAATGCATGCAACTAGTTTTTCTCCATAGAGGAGGCATCTTGAAGCTGTCATTACCAACAAAGAATTTTGTACAAAGTAATAAATACATTTCAGTTAGTGTGCTCAATACTTTTTCCCTGTGTCATTCCATTTTATTACACATAACTTAATATCTGAACTTGTTTTGGTTTCTTTGCATGTATGGATTGCATGGGTTGTTACTGAGTGGTGAAAATGTCATGTCATTAGCACCTTTAGAAATATATTTACAGAGAAAAATGGTGACTTGTTCAGTACATATTTTTACTATATATATATATATATATATATATACACATATACATAATACTGATGGTGCTGCCTTCCTAACATCAATTGTGTATAAACAAACTCTATGAACATTTTTGTGATGATGTGCTTAACTAAACTGTTGACATAGGACAGACACTATTTTTTCAGGAGGCCAAGTCGCACAACATTATATATTAATAAATTGTTCAAATCCCTAAACAATGCTTTAGACAAACAAGTCAATAATTGGTGGGACATATTAACACTGGAGAAGTATATTAAGTATAATATAACTCCCAGGAGATTATGTTGGGACCTGGCACCTAAAGATGGCTTATAGGATACAGGATTGGAGAAAGAATGGTATACTTTTTTTCGAAGGAAGTAGGAGGAATATATTGGAAGTGATCCTTTAAAGAAGGAGAATGGCAACATACAGGAGTTGAAAGAGAAACTCAGTCCTTATAACGATACAGTGGAATATGTAGATCAAAACAACTAAAAGAATATATAGATAAATTGGATAAAGACGCTCAGTGTAAAAAGATAAATAAATATCAAAGGGATATGGATGGCTATAAACAAAATATGGTATATAAATGGCAATAAAATAAAGATGAAATGCGAACAGAATCAAGAGACCCTTCAGTAGAGAGGGAAGGGAGTAAATCTTAGGAGTGCGACCCCCAAAACATCCAAGAGGGAGAAATATAACATAAAAAGCCTTGAGAAAATAGGGGGATAGCAAGTTAAGTGCACAGGAGGCAAAGAGGATGAGGGAGGCATTGGGGTTTTCCTAAGCCCGCCAGAGAAACAAGAGAAGAAGAGGGAGCAAAAGATACAGAAGGTGTAAAGGAGGTTGCAGTAAAAAGGAAGCAAGAAAACTAGGTCAGGGTATTTTTAACCTTAGCGGTGTAGAGTTCTCAGATAATGAACTTAAAGTATTGGATTTGGGACTTAAAGCGATTCTAAAGGTTCGTTATATTTATTTATTTTTTTGTAAAATGACAAACATGTCTCTACTTACCTGCTGTGTGCAATGGTTTTGCACAGTGCAGCCTGGATCCTCCTCTTCTCGGGTCCCCCGCAGGCTCTCCTGGCTCCTCTTGTCTGTCGGGTGCCCCCACAGCAAACAGCTTGTTATGGGGGCACCTCCTGCCCCGCCCCCTCTTTGTTCTCATTGGCTGACTAGCTGTAATTGCCAATAGCTCCCGCTGAGAGCCGAGGCTGTCATTCACATCGCTGGATCGTGATGTGGTTCAGGTAAGTATTGAGGGGGCTGGGGGCACTGCTGCACACAGAACATTTTTACCTTCATGCATAGAATGCATGAAGGTAAAAAAAAACTTCAGCCTTTACAACCACTTTAAATATGCCCCTTATAAGGATTTTGATGAATTTCATGTCTATATAGATATACAAATGTTTACACGGAAGTTGAACATTAAATAAATTTTGCATAAAATAGCAGGACGGTCAGTCTCTAGACAATCCACTCTATAATCATAGTAGTCTTAGAAATAATTCTACTTTTATTCCAAAGGGTTCTTCGAACCATTTTAAAACTTTTGTGGAAAAGGATATAAAGCAAACAAACAATATTCCTAGGAAAAAGGATATTTGGGCAGGTATTAAGGAATTAGAAAATGGTCAGTTCCCCCTGTGGATATAAGAGGGGGCGAATAGTCATCTTAAGTAAAGACGAATATAATAATGAGCTTAATACAATGGTTGAGAAATAAACCACTTTTGAAAAATTAAGGGGTGACCCCACCAACAAATATAAAGCTAAGCTTCAAAAATTGTTAAAGAGAGCACATTAAAAGGGTATCCTCAACACGAAGGAATTTAGATATTTATTACCAGAGGTACCAAAGCTTACTAGGAAATACATACCTATAAAAGATGAGTGTAAATACCTAAATTAAATAACTGAAATTGTATGTACATGGATAGGAAACTGGTTACATGAAGAGGTCCAGAAAGGAGTGATAAATAACTCTTTCTCTGGTCTAACGTTGTGAATGGTGTGCCTAGGGTTCTGTCTTGGGACCAATGCTCTTCAGTTTGTTTATTACTAATATAAAGGTTGGATTCAAGAGCTCAATTAGGAAACCAAATTATGCAAGGAATAAATTTAGCACAGGATACATCATCACTACAAAAAGACCTTGACAAATGGGTTGGGCAGCCACATGGCAGATGAGGTTCAATATTGAGAAATATAAAGTTATGCAGCTGGGTACCAGAAATACACATGCAAAAAAAGGAGGTGTTCCCCTGGGAGAATCAGTGATGGAAATGATCAGTGTGTGTTTGTGGATCACACTTTGCTATAGCATGCAATTCCAAGTCACAGATAACAATGCTAGTACACTGCTCTTGTGCATTAAAAATGGCATATATTAAGTGATCAATCAATAATTTTACCCCATTCCAAAACACTTTTTCAACCTAATTTTGAATATGCAGTTTGGTTTTGGTCACCAATTCTCAGGAAAGACGTTGTTGAATTAGAAATAGTTCAGCAAAGGGCAGCAAAATAATAAGAGAATGATAGAAGACCTTGGCTATGAGGATCAATACATAGATTTCAGTTACTCACTCTGGAGAAGACGTGCTTAAGAGGAGATTTGATTAAAATGTATAAACTGTTTAGGGTCTCTTAAGAGGACACACAATCATGTGTTGAGGTTAGAGGAAAGAAGATGTAACCTTAGATTGCAGAAAGGTTTCTTTACTGTTAGAGCAGGTAAAATGTGTAACTCCCTGCTTCAGGAAGTGGTACTAGCTGAGAATGTTGATAACTTCTAAAAACTTTTAGATGTCTTCCTCAGGAAGCAGAATATACAGGGTTATAGGAATTGTTAGAGAATAACACACACACGCTTTGAACTGGACAGATCTGTGTCTTTTTTTTCAATCCTATAAGCTATATAATTTTCCTTTCAAATTGCACTTGTAAACACTGCATTGTTCCTGAAAAATTGGCCCCCAGTGTCTACTGTGAGCATTGATCTGGGTCCCCGTTGATCTACTGGACTCATACATGACTTAGAGGTCAGCAGTAGGAAGCAATGAGAGCTGATGGGGACCCAGGACATCGACACTTCTGGTCAGCTTCCCAAAAGTCAGGGGACCATTTTTTTTACTGGAATGGAGTGGTGTTGGGAGGTGTAGGAAGTGGGAGAGGCAAGTAGTCACACTTTTCTTTTACAGGTATGCCTTCCTTGGGAAACTTTTGTATAGTGGCAGGGTTGCTTCAGAGTACAACTGTCATAATAAGAAAGACATGAAGGATGTCATTTTTGTCTGCTCTTAAAAAAGACAGTTGCCTGGCTGTATCTAGATTTACCACTACTTCTTGCTCTTGGTCGGTGACCAGCAAGAATGTAGTAAAAATCAGATACAAGTAGAAATTCCTTATGTTCACACTTGTTCTGTGTCGTTGAAGTCAAATCTAAAGTATCAGTATTCTAGGGTGCTGACATTTCCAGCAGTGATAGCACTCTTATTTCTCTTATGACAGGTTTCATTTAAAGTGGTTGTAAAGGTTTAACGTTTTTTACTTTCATCATTCTATGCATGACGGTAAAAAACCTGTGTGCAGCAGCTCCCCCAGCCCCTTCGATACTTACCTGAGCCACATCGCAATCCAGCAATGTGAATGACGGCATCAGCTGCTCCGGGTCTTTGCCTCCTCATTGGCTGAGGCAGCATGCAGGAGCCATTGGCTCCCGTTGTTGACAATCACAGCCAGTCAGCCAATGAGGAGAGAGAGGGTGAATGAACACACGGAGCAGCAGGTGCCCCCAAAGCAAGCAGCTTGCTGTGGGGGCACTCGACAGACAGGAGGAGCCAGGAGAGCCTACGGGGAACCCGAGAAGAGGATCAGGGCTGCTCAGCGCAAAACCACTGCATACAGCAGGTAAGTATAGACATGTTTCTTGTTTTACAAAAAAAAAAAAAAAAAGAACTTTTAGATACTTTAAATTTAACCAGTTTCATTTAAACTTCTAAAGTGACAGGACAAATAGTTTTTTGCACTATTTTATGAAGGTAAGAGTTCTCTATTTGGAACCTAGCAATTATTTTATTGTGTTATGGACTTTACAGTGCCAGTAATTTTGAATGTTGTCTGTCTCTAAACAACACATTTGTGTTGCATAGTAATATCAGCAAAGAGGAAAAAAACTCATCAAGTAACCAGGGTCATAAGAAAAGATGTATCTCAACAGGTAATCAATGTGATTAAAAGATTAACTTTAATAAACACCATGCACTCCGGAATTTTCTTCCTCTCTTGTTTTTCCCTGCAACTCTCATATATCCCCAGGATTGAGAGACAAATCCAGTTGTGTTGCATAGATTTGTTTTGGCACATTACAATTTCAGTGTGTTAGCATTTATTGCTGTGTTCATTTGGTGTTATTATTAGGAGTTAAGTAGGTTCTGGTTAATGGTTTTTGGGTTAGGTTGAGGTTAGTAACTATTGATTTGAGTGCAATAAATTAATTTTTCAGGTGTGAAGTTGTTGGGGTAAGACTTTATGCACCCAAAACACATATGCCAATATTCAGAAGCAAGAAACACATGGATTCCTGAGTACCAATGAAAACCACACTAAAGACAACACTTTTAACACTGTACCTTTATTTACACACCGCTATATATATTTGACTTCTGATTGTTCCATGCTTTCGGGAATAACAGATTTAAGGGAAGCTTGGCAGAATCGGTTGAGAGAAGACATGCTTCTCTTATCCCTAATGTATAAACGTAGCTTATCTCTAAAAGTTTCTCCTAGAAAGCTGTAAATTAGTGGGTTTAAGCAACTGTTGGAGAAAGCTGCCAGATTTACAATGTGACCTGTGAGTGGGTGGTTATGCCTGAAGGACTGATTGTTCTGCTCATTATCATCATTTTGCAGAAGTCCGATACTTATAAATACATTCTCCGGCAGCCAGCAGATAAAAAACACCAAGACAACAACTACAATCATCCTCATGGCCTTCTGCCTTCTTGGTCTTAGGTTTTGCTGTTTGTGCGCCCTTACCAAAACACGAATGATTAATGAATAGCAAAGGCCAATAATTACAAAGGGAATAATAAAACCAAGTGTAATTTCTAACCACTGGATTGCCTTAACGTCTGCAAAGCAGAAATGCCTGTCCTCGGTGTGCTGCACTTGGACCGCTGTGAATGGAAGCAAAGTGGCAGAGATGGACACCATCCAGATGAGTCCGCAACTTATCCTGGCGTGCTCTTTAGTCCTAAAGATATTGGATTTCATTACTTTTGTCAGTGCAATATACCTGTCAAAGCTCATCCATGTGAGGAAGAAGATGCTGCTGTACATATTAATTTGAAGGAAGAGGGACATAAAAGTGCACAAGATGGTAATATCATAATATTTCTCGCTAAGGTTGAATACTTCAATGAGAGAGTCTGCCACAAGGATGAGGTCAGCCACTGCCAAGTTGATGAAATACAAGTCTGGGATGGTCATCTTTTCTCGAAATCGAATGTTTATCACCAGGATCATAATGTTTCCAATGAATCCAATTGGGAAAAGCAGAATAGTGTAAAGACAGGATAAAATGAGACCAATCACATAGTGCTTGTTCATATCCAATAGTCCATTTGCAGCCAGACTTCCATTGCTAAAATGTGATGTGTTCAACTCCATTAATGAGAAGTTCCAAATGACTGATGGTGCTGCGGTGCCATACTCATCCATCATAGGACTTTAATTAACGGAAAATATGTGCCATAAAATAAAATGAAAGCTGTGTTATTATCCATAGTGTGGTCAGTACAGAAGACTGCCTTACTGTATAGCCATGACCTTCTGGCAGCAGTCAATTACAGTAGATCATTTCACGGCTGCTGCCTCCTCCCTGGACCACATCTGAAGCCCTGTGGTTACATAAAAGCATGAGACCACTGCAAGCCACAGAACTCCAGTTAAGTCTTCTGGTTACCTGCATTTTCATAACTTGACTGATGGACAGCTTCAGAGACTTGTATAAATAATGTAGAGAGTATGTACTTAGAATTTCATGTTCTGCTCTTCAAAAGGCTGTGTGTTTATACAAGTTAAGCACCTGAAAAAGACAAATTTATTTTTAGTTTATTTTTTTCTGAATACTAGACATATTTTTGCAGGTATGACTTAACTTTTGCCATTTTTTCTTGTGTGTTGGAGGTCAGATGTGTAGGGGTGGGGGTTTAAAAAATACTTTTCATCTGCTGCTGTCATGATTAGTACAGTGATCAGGAACTAATGAATGACTGATTAGTTTATTAGTTAATCTACACTGTTTATATCTGTTAGACCAATCACAGTGATGCCAAGGTACAAAGCTGCAGTGATGGGCTTTACTGTAGAAGTGGTCCGAGTGGTTGTACAGCCACCAGATTACTTCTACAGGGCATGGAAGGAGGCCTCCCCTGCCGCCGCCCACCGCCTTTACCAGGCTCTGTCATGTGATTGGGGAGCCTGATACCACCACCGCTCAGTACACTTGTGAAGTAAAAGGGGAGGAAAGTATGTCTGTACCTGCCGCCTATCTGTGATGTAAGAAACTGGAAGCAGTGATGATTTAGTCACTTCAATTTTTGGTTTGTGGTTTACAAGCCATTACCAGCTTTTGAGGGAGATGAGAGATCCGTGGTGTGACAGACACCAGATCTCTCAGTAAAGAGTACCTGTCACAAGGGATGTTATTCATCCCTTGTCATAGCAATAAAGTTTATAAAAAAGTTAAAGGGACAGTGTAAAAAAGTTTTAAATAAAATAAACAAAAATAATAACAACAATGCAAGCTCATATATACATCTCACACGTCGATGTAAATGGTGATCACACCACATGTGAGGTATCACCATGAATGTCAGAGGGGGAGCAATAATTCTAGCACCAAACCTTCTGTTTAACTCTAAAATGGAAACCACTAAAGGCTTTTAAAACGATGCTTGTGGAGATTTTTAGGTACTGTAGTTTTTCGCTGTTCCATGGGAGTACATAACTTTAAAGCATGACATATTATGTATCTATTTACTCAGTGTAACATCATCCCTAATATGTTGCCAAAAATTGGGTATTATATTTTGTTTGTGTGCACTAAAATTCAATTACAGGTGCATCTCAATAAATTTGAATATCATATAAAAGTTCATTTATTTCTGTAATTCAATTAAAAAAGTGAAACTCAATATATATTATATAGATTCGTTACACACAGAGTGACATATTTCAAGCATTTCTTTCTTTTAATTTTGATGATTTTGGCTTACAGTTAGTGAAAACCCAAAATTCAGTATCTCAGAAAATTAGAATATTGTGGGAAAGTTCAATATTGTAGACTCGTGGTGTCACACTCTAATCAGCTAATTAACACAAAACAGCTGTAAAGGTTTCCTGAGCCTTTAAATGGTCTCTCATTCTGGTTCAGTAAGTTACACAATCAAGGGGAATACTGCTGACTTGACAGTTGTCCAGAAGACAGTTATTGACACCCTCCACAAGGAGGGTAAGTAACAAAAGGTCATTGCTAAAGAAGCTGGCTGTTAAGTGCTGTATCCAAGCATATTAATGGAAAGTTGAGTGGAAGCATAAAGTGTGGTAGAAAAAGGTGCACAAGCAACAGGGGTAACTGCAGCCTTGAGAGGATTGTGAAGCAAAGGCCATTCAGGAATTTGGGGGAGATTCACTAGGAGTGGACTATAGCTGGTGTCAGTGCTTCAAGAGCCACCACACACAGACGTATCCAGGACATGAGCTACAACTGTTGCATTCCTTGTCTTACCTGGGCTAAGGAGAAAAGGGACTGGACTGTTGCTCAGTGGTCCAAAGCCCTTTTTTTTGGATGAAAGTAAATTCTGCATTTCATTTGGAAGTCAAGGTCCCAGAGTCTGGAGGAAGAGTGGAGAGGCAGAGAATCCAAGTTGCATGAGGTCCAGTGTGAAGTTCCTATAGTCAGTGATAAATTGTGGAGCCTTGTCATCTGCTGGTGATGGTCCACTTTATTTTATCAAATCCAAAGTCAGCTCAGCCCTCTATCAGGAAATTCTCGAGCACTTCATGCTTCCCTCTGCTTACCAACTTTATAGAGATGCTGATTTCATTTTCCAGCAGGACTTGGCACCTGCCCACACTGCCAAAAGTATCAATACCTGGTTTAATGATCATGGTATCACTGTGCTTGATTGACCAGCAAACTCGCCTGATCTAAACCCCATAGAGAATCTGTGTGGTATTGTCAAGAGGAAGATGAGACACCCCAGACCCAACACTGAAGACAAACTGAAGGCCACAATCAAAGCAACCTGGGCTTCCATAGCTCCTCAGCAGTGCCACAGGCTGATCTCTTCCATGCCACGCCGCATTGATGCAGTAATTCATGCAAAAGGAGCCCCAAACAAGTATTCTGTGCATACTATACTGTACATGGACATACTTTTTAGTAGGTATTAAAATTCCTTTTTTTTATTGGTCTTGTGTAATAATCACATTATCTGAGATACCGAATTTTGGATTTTCACTAGCTGTAAGCCATAATCATCAAAATTAAAAGAAAGAAATGCTTGAAATATATAACTCTGTGTGTAATGAATCTATATGATATATTATAGATGAGGATGGATGCCACTCAGACTAAACCCCAGGAGTCAGAGAAGAACAAGATGTAGTAGGATGGCCTCAGCCGTCACTCTGGTCACGTACTCTGATGAGTGTCGCCATGCCCATAGCGGGCTTGGTCACAGAGGCTGTGTGACCAACCTCCTATGGGTTGTGCGAAACGCATCATAGGGCATGGCTAGAGTGCCGGCTGAGGCCATCCTACTACATCTTGTTCCTCTGACTCTTGAGGTTCGGTTTGAGCAGCGTCCATCCTCACCTATATCGCTAGGGACGCTGCTCCCATCTTTTCTTCTCCGTCGGCGGGGTGACCTTTGTTTCCTGTCATTCTTGAGTGGCAGCAGAAGCATATTTATGATTTCTATAATATATTAGTTTCACTTTTGGAACTAATTACTGAAATAAATTCACTTTTTGATGATATTCTAATTTATTGAGATGCACCTGTAAGTGTTTTCCCCCCTGAAAATTTTCCTTTTAGAAATGGCTGTACAAATATTGTATGACATAAAAAAATTGCAACAACCACGATTTTATTCTCCAAGGTCTCTGCTTTCAAAAAATATATAATGTTTGGGGGATCTAAGTAGTTTTTTAGAAAAAAGATGCAGATTTTTACATATGTGTGAAAAGGGTCAGAATTAGCCCAGGGGGCAGGTGGGTAAGCGGCGTTGCAGAAATAAGCATCACCACTTTATCATTTAAAGCTGTACGGCATTGGTAATGTGGATAGAAAAATAAATACAAGTTTTTTAGTATGTAAATTAATCATAGAGTTTCTTTCAACTTAACAGACATATGCTGATGCTGTTAATTAGATTTGGTCATAAAGCCATCAGTGACCTCTGGTCAGGAAAGGGTTAAAGCAAAACTGATGTGAGCTATATACACAGTTTTAATACATGGTATTTTTTTTACCAGCCAGGATTTGTATTTTTGCTCATCTGCTCCTGTAATTCACCCACTCTCACACCAAGAACACACTATATAACCAAAAAGTGACACCACTTTTTGAAGTTGCACCTCTCCTTTACCATCATTATACAAGATCCATTTGAAACACACTGATTCTGCTTGTGCTCTCACCTTCCACAAGCTTTTTGAACATATCTCTTCCAAGCCTGATGATTGGGATAAAAATGGTGGCAGGTAATTATACAGGGAAAGACAAGCTCATTTGCCTCTGCCAGCTTTATACACAGTCTTTTAAAGTTACCTTGTCACTGCAAAGTCAAAACCAAAATAAACCCAGCCTGTAAAACAAGATGCTGTATACTTATCTTTATGGTGGTTCTTGTGTTAAAGTGGAACTAATGTCTACAATACTTACCTCTCCTTCAACGATTCAAGGTCTCTCTCACCAGTACCACCATCTTCTACCGGCTTCTTCCATGTGTCAGGCTGCGGCTGTCTTCATTGACTGGAGTGAGACGATGACGCTCCTGCACATACAGTACTCAGTAGTGCATTCATCCCGGCACACAAGATCTTTGCCAGAATGTAAGCTGAGCTGCACATGCTAAAAATTTGCGGGCAAATAGGTTTATTTTATTGCAGAAGAAACATGTCTTTTGAAATAATTTATCTGAATTTTTAGTCCTGTTTTAAATTTCTGCAGTGTTGCCGATTCCCAGTCTGCAGAAATTTGACAAATGCATATGTGGAATACTTCTCGCTAGACATGTACACACTGGAAAGTTTTGTTTCATTTAATTTCATTTAGCTTAGTTTTTCAGATGCATTTATTCATTGAAAAATTTCGTTTAGTGATATTTTTCATGTTCAATCCATTCATTTTCGAGATTGGTTTCATATTGTCATTTGTTTCATTTATTTGTTGGCTCAGGTGGATTTGAAAAATGATGCAGTTTTTCCAGAAGTTTGCTATATATTCCATTTATTATCAAATCAGACAGGTTTTATATTTTTGGATGCTAGTCCACCAAGAGAAATGACATGAGGTGATTGGACAATAGCAACTGGTG